CAATAACCACGGCTTTGGAGCATCAGACTACATTCAAGTGAATGCATATTAATTCACACACTTTGAAAATGAAACTTGCAAGCCAATTAAAAATCAGAATCTGGTATTCACATTTGCAGTTGAAATTACGGCCACAGCTTTGGCGCACCAACATCTTGTGCTGAAATTTTCAAACTCGAAGACAACTGGATTTTGGTGTTTACTGTTTAGATGGGGCCAATGGGCACGTGAATATTTGTCGTGTTTATTTATTTTTTTTGGGGGCTAATTCACGTGAAGATATTATCTTTTTGAACTTTTCAGAGGAAAGAAATTGTATATATTTATTATAACAAACAAAAGAATTCCTTTTTTCTTTTAAAAATTGAAAATAAAACGAAACCTAAATAATGGATTTCTTTATTACAAGATAATCTGATAGAAATGAAAAAAACCTAAATAAAAAGTCTAGGCTTCCTTCAATATCATTGCTTGGTTTTAGTTGTCAAAATTTGAATTACTAAAAATGCTTATTTGATTAGTAAACCTTAAGTTGAGGTGTTGAAATTTAATTTTTATTTTTTATTTTCAAGATATTATTTAAAATGTTTATTTTTACTTTATTTTTATTTTAAAAAGATAATTACAATATATATTAAATAAAAAAACTTATTCAAGTAGTGATTTATTAACGATAAATATAAAATGTAATTATTAATTTTACTCTTTCTGTCTTAAAATGATTGTCATATTTTACTCTCTTTTTTTAATTAAAGATTTAGAGAAAATAATTATATTAATCTATAATACTCCTAAAAAAAAGTAAAAGATAAAGAGATATTTTTTATGATTAAATAATTAATTATAGTGAATAGATAAAGATAATGTTAAAATAAAAAAATTATTTCCTATAAAATTTTAAAAATAATAATTAATGTAGAAAAAATTTAAAGTTGACAATTATTTTTAAATAGATGACATATATCTTTACTTTATTAAAAAACTAAAATTATTAAAATTGAATTGAGAAAGTATTAAATAATTTTTTTTTTTTTTTTTTTGTTTTTTAATAATGTATAGATATATGTCATCTATTATAAAACTAAAATTATTAAAATTGAATTGAGAAAGTATTAAATAATTTTTTTTTTTTTTTTTTTATAGATAATCAACAGAGCGGTAATTATTAAAGGTTCAAGAAAAGGTTATAGGCATAGATTTTGGTATCTTGAAGTTCCTTGTCCTAACCTGTTCTAAATTCCGGATCCTTTAGTTAACATAAAATTACTTTTACTGCAAATGTTAAAAGAAAAAAAGAAATTGAAAATTAAAAGATTTTGATATTAATAATTTTAAAATGTCCAATCATAAGTATATAATAAATTTAATTCAAACAAAACTTAATTTATGTCTTAAGTATTTAATAATTATAATTAAATGTACTGATATTTTTTAAATATCAAGATGCAATGCCAAAAGAGTTTTTACTAATAAAAAAGAAAATAACCAAAAGAGTTTATCAAATAAAAGTTGACATTTCAACGGTTAGCTGTGGCGGGCAGTATTTGGGAATATCCAGAATTTATATCCTTTCTCCTTGCCTTAACCTTATCTGGGGGTGACCGCACACCGATTTTTATTTCTTGTGGTACACACAGACAAATATCAGAACCCACAAACGCCACGCTGGTTTTCTGAAAACCGCAGCATCCTTGATATCTCATGCCCTATATAACCCCACCTCGCTACTCTCTCCTATTCATTCAACAAAGAGAAAAGCAAAAGCAAAGGTGTCTTTGAATACTGTTTCTAGCTGTGAAGATGTCTGCAATGGTGGAGGCTTGTGTTGCTAAGCTTGCAAAACTTAGAGAGAGGGTCCAAGCTCGAAGGCCACTCCTTACAAGAGCCAAACAAGGGCAAGGTGAAGAAGGGAAGGAAGCTAAACTAGTGAGCAAAGATGTTTCTTCTCCTAAAGAAACTCCAGATGGCACCATGTCAGAAGCTACGGTTTGTTTGCTCATGGACCGGTTTGTGCCTTGGTGATCAAAGCTAAGCAGGAGTTTTTATGGAATAATGTAAGGAATAAGTTTTCTGTAAATATTTGTTATCTTAGTGTTCAATAGAGGATTTGCCCCTTCTTAAAAACTTGGCAAAAGGGGTTTGCTCGTTACAATTCTCGCTCAATTTTGCATTAGAATTCTCTTTCAATTTTTCATTACAAATTCTCTTACTTCCATTCCATGAATCTATACCAAGAAGATCATAGTTGCAGCTTCTACACCTGAATGTTACAAATATCCATCCCCCTATGCATAATGTGTATGCTCCTTCAATTTTACATTACAAGTCTCTTATTTTCATTCCATGAATCTATACCAAGAAGATTATGGTTGTAGCTTCTACACCTGAATGTTACAAATATCCATCCCCCTATGCATGATGCATATGCTGTGTGTGGTCTGTACATGGCATTCTGAAAAATATTTATAGAAAAAAAATGGTCAAGATGAGGAGCTTGCCTCAATATCAGTGGAAGAAAACTCGTTGTTGTTGAAGCTTTGTTCATCTTCATCCCACTTGAGAATTTCCCTGCCGTAACGGAGGGCTTTATCCACACTTTCAGGTTTCAACCCGGTAACTAGAGAAACATACAGCTTTCGATCAGTAAGAGCTTTGAATAGTCTCTTGAACTTCAGTGCAATATAGTGGAAGGCATGCTGAGCCAGAGCAGACCTTCCCCTGTGACCAAAGCCTCTCAGTGGATAGAAGTCATGGAACCATTCACATTTGGTAAGAGAAACCCTTGCAATCTTTTCTTCAAGCAGATCAAATTTGTTGAGTATTAGGAGGAAGTCCTTGGAATCAAAAGTGGGATGCATGACAATGCTTTCAAAGAGCTGCTTGCTTGCAAGCATTTTGTTGGTTCTAACACCGTGGCTGTCTTCAGAGAACTCATCATAGTCAATCAAGGAGACACAAAATAGGACCACGTCCACATCTTCAAACATCTCCATAAATTTGCAAGTTTCTCCAAGGCTGCTTGGAGGCAGTCTAATGAGTTGGTACCTGTAAATGAAAATCAGAAATTGCTAAATTAGGGAGGCCTGGTAAGCTCTATGTAGTATGTACCAAACTTTGTTGCAAAAATGAAAATCAAGAGAATGGATATAACTAACCTCTCTGAAGGATCATGCTGATAACCAAAGTCAAGAGAGTTCTCTCGATCTAGCTGGGGAAATGAGAATTCCATGAATGAGAGCCCATTGGATGATGTAATTCCTTCAGCATATAAGATATCCATCTTAGAAGGCTCATAGTCTGTTCTTGTGATCTCAATAGCCTGAGAGGAAGATGATATTAGATATTCAAAAATAACATCTTTTCAAAACAACATCATATATCATACACTGAATCCTCATATCTTCACACTTAAACAGGAATAATTACCACGTGAAAAGAATTACAAATTAATTGAACATTGCTGCAAATTTAATGTTGTAACAATAGTTAATGGATGAAAAACAGGACTAGAAACATCTTATGAATGGAAATACAGGCGCTGGGAGAGCTTTCCCACTTATGGGGTCTGATGTAGCTCGATTCCAGATTAGTCGGGACTCTACGTGGTTACCAGATACCAGGGGGTTAATACAAAAGAAAAAAAAAAAAAAAAAAAAGGACTAGAAACTTCAGTATCACTCAAATTGTACCAAAAAGTTTTAGCATCTAAACCACAAGAAAGAACGCATTTCCAAACTACCCAAATAAATATGTAAGATGGCCCGCAAGCCACCTTAAACAGCAAACAAGAATCATATGAAGTTTGTCTTACCCTTTCCAGGAAATAAGTTGCATTTCTTGGTAGCATTTCCAATTCATTCCTCCTGCTGTATGTGGCTTGAAAAGCTGCATCTTTCCACAATTCTTCAACAAGTGGTGCATATTCACGAGTTGCAGCAGGGAAAATAATCTCCAAATTGCCAGACATCATCTCTTCGAGAAGCCAATCTGAGAATGCTTTCAGTCTTGTGCCAATGGAATATATTGTTTTACCATCGATTGGGCTTTTATTACCTGTTGTGACCGAACAATATCTGAGAACCTGTTGTGTTATGATTTTATATGGGAAACTATTACAACCCGTAATGGAAAACTAAAGGACTTATGATCCAAAAGAAGCACCATTTGCAGCCTTGAAGAACAGGGATAAAACTGATCATAGACTTTTAAAATGTTGACTGTATTAATCAATGTTCTGAGAAGCTACCAGGCGTGAAAGTTTGGCCAGGTTATTGTCCTAGGAAAGGCATTTCTCATAGGTAATGGTTTTCTCTACCTTATACTTCTAGAATAATTCACAAAATAAGAAGCAATATATTCCATTCCTACTTTTGATTCTAATTCCCTTCTTTTTGGACAGAGTTAATTTTCTCCTGCCACAACTGATGTAAGAATAAGTAAACACATTGTAGGGTATAAACAATAAGGACCTGAAAAGTGATGCCATTTGTGGATCATCCTCCCACATTTGTAGTTTACAAAAATCAACAGGATTTTATGGGAGAAATTCATTGGCAGGGTTTATACTTCATACTCTCCTTAGAAGGCTATATAGACCCTAAAGTCAAAGGATTAGAAAACATAATTTCTACTATGAATACAATTTTTCCAAGAACAAAGGAAAAGAAAGTTACTAAAAAATAATAATAATAATAAAAAAAGGAATGTATCAGCGTCATTGTACCTGAACTTGAAGGACCGGCTTGATCAGTCATCTCTATTTTCCTCCCTTCAAGCAAACTTCTTTTTTCAAACTGTTCCCGTCCCTCCAGCAGTATACCAAGATAACTATACAAATTGCTTTGGATCGTTAACTTAATATTTTCACACTCATTTTCTGTAAATGGAACATCATACAGAATCTTGGCCTGGAATAAGCAAGTCAATATTGAAAAGACAAATAGAGGTGTCAAAAAATGTTCTAAATAGGAAGAGCCTAAGCCATTAGAGATAGACCCCTAACAGATTTAGGGTAAACGACTTGTGAACAAATTGCATCAGTATAAGAGGAAGCAAGTTTATTACATTAAGTCTGACCTGCTTATATATGGTACTAGTGCCAGATTTTTCATAGCCTACTAGAAGAAGTTTATGAGGCGCTTTCAACTCTTGGTTGCTTAGGCTGACTTCTTCTCCAGAATTATTTAAAGAATCAGTAGGAACTGGCAAAGACAAGAGAGCACAAGCGAGTTTGATTCCAGTCTGTCAAGAAATACATACAAGTTGTTAGTAATCTGTTGCGTAAGAGAAGGCAAAAATCTGATGCATATGGACAATCTACATGCAATATACCTTCTTCCATATACACCCCACGTTCTTCTGACCCTCTTCCGAGTAGGATCCATCTGCATTCACCCAAAAGTGAGGGCTTCCTTCACATTGAACTCCTGCCAACTGCAGACATGAAATGGAATGGATTTAACATTTTTTCCCCCCCGAGTCATGCTTAAAAAGAGCCTTTCATATGCAAATGCAACACAATAACCTGCAGCATCCAACGCTCTTTTTTAGTAATCTCCCTGTTGTTTATAAATATATTTGTCTTTCCATTGCTGGCATTTGACTTGATGTCACCTCCAACATTTAGCTGGTGGCTAATAACCTGGCAAGGCCCCTGTCCTTCCTGTTCAGTGAAGTCAGACAAGAATTCAATTATTGTGCAACACAAACGAAATTAAATTGCTCTTAGATTTCTTAAAAAAAAAAAAAAAGAAAAGGGAATAAAAATAGAAAGCGATGCATAGAGATTTGTTATTACCTTTCCCCACAAACCAGATACTTTATCATACCAATAGTTTCCTGGTTTTATCTTTTTTGGTGGGTTTGGGCAGGTGTGCAACAGAAGCAACTCCTCTTGACTCAGAGGTTCACCATTCACATTAACTAGCTCTGGTGGCAGCTGATTCACCTCACATGATGACTCAGATCTCATAATATGTTGAACTTCTGGCTCAGTAAGCAGCTGCTTGAGCATCCGTGAACATTTCCCCAAAGTCTTTCGATTTGACTCATCTATCCTTTTACCAATGCAAGTAACACATTTTCTTCCCTCTGGCATGGATCCCATAGCTCTCAGCAAGCAAGAACGACAATACTTTGCATTGCAAACTATGCAAATCTCCTTCTTGGTAAACTGATTTCCCTTCAAGCACCTATAGCATGACCATTTCTTCTCATTCCTTGGTAGCTCATGGCTTCTTTCGTCCTCCGAATAATCATACTCTTCCTGAACTATTTCAGTTAACTCAGGATCACGGAAAGTGACCACTGATGGTCTTCTAACATGGGAAGGAATTTCATCTTTAGCCTCAGATGATGAAAGTGCAACTGAGCTTAAACCTGATTCTGTTGAGTCTGAATGGGCTAGGTCAATATCCCCATTCTCAATCAATCCAAGACCTTCCCTACAATCATTGGGTAGCTCTAACACCTCCAACCTTGCTGGTGATTCTTGCAAACCATCTTGACCATCAGGAGTCTCCCGCTTCCCAGAATCCCCCCTTCCATGATATAAATTTGCTGAGCACTCACCATCACCCTGAGTTGATAGCTCAATGGATACGCTAAGACCATTACAGGGCTTTTGACCCGAGGTAGTTTCACAGAAAATTTTTGGCCCTTTGGTCAACCGTTTGTTTGCTGGACCAGTCTTCACGATTGGTTGGATGACCGGCAATGAAATATCATTCAAAATGAAGGAAGAAGAAACAGTGGTAGCCATGGGAAGCTGGTCAACGTCTACTGGAAGTGCTTGAGGAATATGGTAAGTCAGCGCAGGACCATGATACTCTACAGCAAATGAGTACTCATTTTTATTATCATCCTCTGAATTATCATCTTTTGGAATGGATGCCCCAACCCCTGCAGGAAGAATTTTTCTTAGAATCCCAGCCATCTGGGATCAAGCCACCAATTCCAATTTCACAAACCCAAGAACCAAAACACAAAACCTCAAAATCCCTTTAAACCCATTAAGCAGAATCACCCATATGAAAAATTCATGAATCAAAACCCCAACAACCTCAAAAACCCTTTCAACCAGAATGACTACTTGATCAAACCCATGACTAAAGCAAAATCTTCATATAAAACTGACCCATGTGTTCATCCAAATTTGCTGTCTTTATTTTTGAAAAGAGAGAAGAAGAAGACAACTAGAAACAAGAAAACATAGTGATTCTAAACCCAACTTTGCCTCTTTGCCGTTTTGTCCAAAAGTAGAGCTGAAGTTCAAAACTTCCAGACAAGAAATGAAAGATAAATGAAATGGAAGACACAAGCATGCTTGTATTAGGTACATGTTTGCACAAGGTAAATTAACATAAATGCCAAGTCCTCCCATATCAGTAACCGATCGAGACTGAAGGGAAGACTGGGGCAACCACGATTTCCTCATAGAATTTGACCGCGTCAACACGCCGTAGAGGATATTGTAAAGCTTTTGGCCGTATATTCACACATCTGAAATGGGTTTGGCTGTTTTATAAAATAATAATTTTTAAATGAGGTGAAGGTTTAATATTTAGAAGCTTATCTTATATTTTCTAGTCTAATATAACACTGAAATAGTTTTCTGACATGAAATTAAGAAAAATTATGACCATGCTACCCTTTTCAGCAAATAATATAATCGATGGTTCTAGATGATATATTTCATTTCAACTGAAAAAATTTACCAAATTTAAATACACTTTTCATACTGTACTACATTATTAGGACGGCCGCTGGTGCTAGCTATAAACCACCCACCCACTTACCCCCCCCCCAAAAAAAAAATAGGACAAGGTCATGCCAACAGGTAAATCCCCCGTTTCCTGAAGGTCTTTCTGAGAGGATAAGAAGAAACCGAAAGGATGCCAGACATACTGAATATGAAGAAAGGAGCAAATAAAACAATACCATAACTGCTACGATACAAAATTTTATATCACACTCTCATCTGTAACTTTTCTCTTCCATTTGCACTCACAAGAGCTACAGTCATACTCGTGGAGTCATTACAGTCTTTCTTGCTGTGCCTGTTTCCACTTTCCTGTTGCAACCCAAAATTTAACAGGTAATCTCACCATGCCTTCTTGGTGAACATAAATGGAAACCAAAGTTTTCATGAGAGTTCGATAATCCTTGGACGCTTATTTGACCGATCCTTCTTTGTAGATTTACTTGATGAATCATCTTCGGCTGTCTTTAGCTTCAAGGGAGAGCATGCTTTGTCATTGCCATTGTCATCATCGTCACTTTTCTTGTTGTAATCAGTATCATCATCATCACTGCCATCATCAGATCCTGTTTCGCTACTACTTGCAGCCAAGGGAATCACTGGTTGATTACCAGCGATTGCAGATTCAGCAGCAGCAACAGCCTCAGGGGTGTTTAGATCAGCCACACCCAACATCAGATCCTATGATTCATTATTCACTAATAAAATTAAGTACTAACTATTATTATTAACTCGCAGCACATAGGCGCACACAACCCATGCAAGCACACAAAAGATAGCAAGTGAGGGAGGGAGAAGCAATTACCATTTCGATGACATTGGATTCATTTCCAGTAAGTACTTCAATATCATACGCCTTAGCATTATCCTACAATTTCATGGTGTAAAAGATTGTAAGGAAATAAGAGAGTTTGCATGGATGCTCTGGCTATGATTATAAGTTCAACACACAAACCTTTGCATCAAGCTCCAGCCTTTTATTGGCTTCTGAAATAACTCCCAAGAAATCTTTCACTTTACCCAAAACTGCAGGCATTTGGCACGCATTGGCAATCAATTCAGAACTAGCCATTGGCAAAAACATCAATGTTCAACTTCATCTTTTTCCAAACGATACTTTTCCTGAGCTCTTGAACAATCCAGCTATTTTGGAGCCTTACAACTATATCATCATAGATATGCCAAAGATCCAAAATTTGGGTTCCAATAATTGAAACTTTTTTACCCCTCAACTTTCAAGTAATTGAAATTGGTTTTCCAATAGATTTTTCTAGGATACCAATCACCACAAAGTAATAAAGATGATAAATGGAAGAAACTCATTTGACTATATACTCTACTGAATAAAAGCACACAAATTCGATAAGGCAAAATATCTGATTAGTCCCCTCAATCATAGTCATATCAATACAAATCATTGTAAAAAATAACCCCCATTATCAGAGACTACTTCAACGAATTGAATTAACCATGGACATGATTCAAAGGTGGCAATTTTCCACTTCCTGTTGGCTTTGCAGTTGCTACCCACCAGAAGATACAAAAAATAGCACTTTAAGTTTTCACACAGGGAAACTGAAAATAAGATATGAAAAAAAACCAGTACCTTGGCTTTTAGGAACAGGAGCAGTGACGAGCTTTTCATCAGGGTCAGGTTCACGGGTTTCAGATAGCGAACCCTTCTTTCTACAAACAAGAAGTGCAGATTCTGCACATGGAAACACAGGGTGAGCAACGCATCTTCAACACACAGTAAGAAGTATGAAACAAGGGTTTCGAAGGGGACGAGTACCTATAGCTGAAGTGGAGGAGTTCCTGTGCTCAAAGCGTAAAAGATCTTTGCTTGTGTTTGCCATCTTTCTCCTCTCTCCCCCCACTCGTGGGTGGATGAATACAGAGATAAAGAATAGGGTTTTGCAGGAGAAAAATGGGGGAAGACGGGTTATCTTATTTGGGGCTGGCTTCACAGGCCCATCTCTTTGCAAAGTCCACGGGTCCGAACTGGCCCAATTATGTTTTATTTTTATTTTTTAATTTTAAGCTATATATAATGAGAAACATTTCTTCCTCATTTAACTCCCAGTTCTATGTTAATTCGTACATTATATAATTTAAATTTATTTATTTATTATTATTATTTATTTTGATTGCACAATAAGAGTTAATTATTTTTCATCCCTTATTCTACTTCATTAGCATGTCATGCGATTCGAATTTAGGACATCTCACTCCAATGAAAAAAAATAATTATTGAATTATTTAGATCGTTGGTAAAATTATTTATTATTATTAGAAAAAAACTATCACTAAGTTATTAGCATTTTTTTACTTTTTTCTCTTGTTTATGGTATGGGAAATTTTACTAGTTTGGGTAAAGAAAATACTATTTTAGACATAATACACTTCTTTTAATCATTGATGTAGAAGTGGGCTTCTAATTACGCATTAAGAGATAGACTTTGCCATTGGTTTGAGGGAAATGAAGGGGATGAATGAGTGTTTCAACTGATTTAATTGTAATGTTTTTTAATATTAGAATTTAATTATAATGTTTTTCAACATTATAATTTACTTAATCAACAAAATTTCATCCTTTTTTATTCTCTTAAACTAAATATACTTAAAATGTGACTTATTTGATTAAAAATTTAATATTTCAATATAAAAATTTTAAATTTAAACATTAAATGAAATAAAATTTTTTTTAAAATGATAGAATTATTTCCTTATGCGTATTATCAAACCAATACAGTGGAAAAAAGAGCTAGACCGTTAAACATGTGGTCGACAATTGAATTTGAAAGTGAATAAACGAAAATACATTTTTAAACAAAAAGAAAAAACAATTAATCTAGTGACAAATCACAAGTAAGAAAGTGTTTGCATGTTCCGACTGCCTCTCATCACAAGTAGTAGGAGAAACTGAACCAAATCTGGATCCTATTTTAATTAATTTTAATACCTGGGAAGAGAACACTCCTTTGGAAGATTGTTATGAAATCTCTTGTTATCTTGGCAATAGTCATATATCATGTGGTACTTTCTGACCCATTTGTACCACGTCTTTTGTACCCTTGTTAGGGTGCTGAAGCTGTCTTTGTTCCACCAATTGGAAGAGCTCTCTGCCGTACAAAATCTTGGATTCCCATTCCAAACACAAGCATCAATCTTATAGTTTCTAAAGGAAGCTATGAAGGGACCCTTGGACCAATCAATTTTGTCGCGTCCACCATGTGTTGCCCAGCTGTCCCCATTCCATAGGGTGGCTTTGATGCTCATTGGCTGCCACCTAGGATATGCCACTCCCTTGTCAGCATGGTTTCTGTATACCCTAATTGGTATTGAATCCACCATAAACCTAAGAAAAAGGAAAACTTGGATGAGGGTTGATTAGTGTCCTAAGTGTTAGAAAGAGAGATTCAAATTTGAAACTTTTTAAAACTTTAACTGTTAAATTAAATTTATGTAAATTTGATAAAAAATTAATAGTAAACTTACACAATTTGATGAAGGTTCCACAAAATGGAATAAGTGTGGAAGTCCTTGGTGGGATCAAACCAAAGATAAATTCTTTCTTCCCTATTGTCAAGCCCATCAGCATAAATATTTGTTTGTAGGATGTAAGGCTCTCCAATCACATTTCCAAGGAATTCAAAGTCTATTTCATCTCTGTTAGGTTGATCTGATGACAACTGCATTGCAGGACAAAGCAATCCACATCATCAATTCAAAGTTTAAAACCCATTAAAATAAATAATTAAGAACAAGAAGAAGAGAGTTTCTTACATAATATGCCACAACTGTGCCAGCTGAATACCCTGGAATTAGTTTAATTTGCATGTCTATTTGTCCAAACAAGAACATCTGGTTTGATGCAAAACCAGCCCCTGAATACATAAAACAGCCCAAATGAGAAAATCTGACCCAAATTGTAAGGTTTAAGTTCTTATAAGTTATTCTGCATACCAGATTCTTGGTCAAGCGTGAGGCTTCTTTCCTGGCCATCTGCAGAAGTATTAACATGGCTAGGAGACCAAATTACAAAGAAATCCTGGTTAAAATCACCCGTGGAGACAACAGAAGCTACTGAAATTTCAAACAGATTGAGAATAAGAAGAATGTAGATAAAGGCTCCAGCTTTAAAATGGTTTGCCATGATTTATTGAATTTGGCTATTCAATAAGAAGGGTCTTGGTGGGGAAGTATGTGTGTGTGTATATATATAGGTAATGCATGAAAAGGTAATAAAAATGCTAACAGAGAGGCAATGTTCTGTTCAAGCTAGAATATCTTATAGAGGAAGCAAGGGGAATGTTAGGTTGTTAGACTCTTAGAAAGATATTATTATTATTATTATTGCTTTGTTTTGGGGGGTGGAGATTATATATTTCACTAAAACATGAATAGAGTACACATTGCGTTTTATTGGGTTTTTTTTTAGGGGCTTTTCTTAACAGAAGCCTTTTTTGTATGTCAAGAGAGCAGAAAGGTTGGTTAGTAAAGTAAGAAAACTGTCCGGCAATATGCTTTGTTAATGTTTCTCTTATGCTTTTCTTTTCTTCATCTTTCAACCTTTCTCTTTTGAACTCCCTTCCCTTGATGACCTGGAAGATTATTCTTGGCTTCCATTTGATTCATTCATTGGAGACTCATTGTTAAGCAAAATACAACAGCCATAAAAACCTTAGTTGTAATATATACTTTTTGTTCTTACTTTTGTGATGTGTCAAATTTGGTGCACAAACATAGGAATTCATTGGCTTAAAAACCAATTAGTTATGATGATTATAAAGTGAATGTTGATTAGCTTCAAAGCAAGAAACGTAACATTTGGCATTATGGGTTTCAAATGGTTGTAGTGTAAAGAGCAAGAACATAAAAGTTAGAGCTGGCTTTACTGTAACTTAAATCCAACTGTAAACATTGCATTATCTAAGAACTGTGTTTCTTTGTTCAACTAACATTTTTTTTTGTCATTTATAATTAAAATGTTAGTTTTTACACACCTCAAAATTAATTTCTCTTAAACAGTTTTTAACAACACATTGCTATATCAATCTAACACATTTAAGAAAATTAATTTTATTAAATGGTTGTCCCAAGACTTGAACTCTTGAATCAAACTTAAAAATAATATTTATTTATTAATAAATTTAACCTTTCAAATTTAATTAACGTTCTTATTAAAAAGGAAAGAGATAAGAAGAGGCAGTCCAGTCCATGTCTATTCTCTTCTGGTTACCAATAGGCCTTATGGCCCATAACTAACGGGTTATGGACTATTAAGCACTGTTGTCCTCTGGAATCTGGACCAATCCACATGGCCCAAACACAAGTGATTTTGTAAAAATGGAAAATGAAAGAGTCTATTTAGCCTAAAAGTGAGGGGGCTCAAGGGAGATTATTGACACTTGAGAGGGTTCAAGTCTTTTTTTCATTTGACAGTTACAGAGTTCAACTCCTTGACCTAAAATAAAAGTACCAACAAAAATTCCATTCCTGGGCCGCTTTCATTGACAATGAGAGTCAGGACTCAGATTTAGCGATTCTGAAGTTTCTATTTTGATAAACAAAATAGGCTAAGTATATATTAATAGTATAATAAATATATTTTTTTATTATAAATTTATATTAAAATAAAAATTAATATTTAATTTATTAATTTATTAATTATATTTATCTACATGACAATGTCAATAAAATTAAAGTCAATTTTTATAATTCTTTTATATATTTCTAACAAAAAATATCTTTAAAGTTTAATCTGTACTTTATAAATTAGGTTAAAAAAACCTGTAAAATATATGCAATTCCTACAATTTATTCATTTCCAATTCAAAGGAATGAAAACAGGAAGTCTGAACTGAGACATTCTGCCCTAGGCCTAAAATGTATAAGCAAAAATAAACAGTCTCATATTATGTAGTGCCTAATTCTGTTGGTTAATTAAAGGGTGAGAATTATTAGTAATGTCCAGCCCATGCATGTTAATTAATGGGTATGAATTAAAAAAAAAATGGTCTACAATTAGCCTTACATAAAATACATATTTTATAATTATTAATAAAATGTGAGTCTCTTAATATTAAGGTAATTTTTAATTATATTAATAATTATAAAATATATAATTTACCTAAAACGAGTTTTAAAATAGTAACCTTGTGAATTATTTAATCTGTCTTTGCCTTACCTTTTCTTTTTCTATTTTCAAAAAGAATAATTCAATTCAATTGGTCTCCACAGACAAGCAGAAAAAAATGAAAAAAAAAAAAGAAAAGTAGAGAAAGACTTTATGGGGGTCGTTGAGACTCGTGAGAGAACGAGGGACCAAATAGTCAATGCAGGGGAAAATCTCTTATCGCTTTTTGGATCCCATGGTCCTATGGAAGTGGAATAATAGAAGCGCGAGAACAGAAGTTTCTTTCCCTATTTTCACTCACTTCAAGTTCAAACCTTTTAAGGACTTTTCTCTACTCTCAGCCTCTTATTCTCCAGGTACTGTTTTGCTTCATCAGCTTCCTCCTTTCTTTTATGCTTTCTTTTAGCTGGTTCTGCTTCAATTCTTAGAGATATAATTACATGGGGTTTGTGTTCTGTGCAACCATTTTTTAACCTGTAACTAGCTATTTAGGAAATGGGGTTTTGGTTTTTGAATCTCTATAGATGAGATTTTGGTTCAAGTTTTATGCTTTGCCTCAGGGTTGGGTTCCAGTTCTTGACCCTGTTCCTGGGTTTGGACTAGGGTTTCCGTGGGGTTTTCACCAAGCTTTATTTAGTTGTTTTTCCTTTGAAGATACTTGTACTCGTTCTTCTTTCATGAGAAACAAGATGGATTTGCGTTAATGCTAATCTAATCTATTATTCCTTTCTGCTTTGTTACTTATTTTCTTTGAGATACTAGATGGTTTTACTTCATTTTTTGGGAAGAAATAATTAATTTAGTCTTTTTATTAAAATTAAAAAATTGGGGTGAACTGTCATTTTGGTTGCTGTACAAAATTAGGGAATAAAGTAGAAACAAAAACCGGATTGTTAACGATGGTGAGAAACAGTGGTGTTACTGATGCAACAAAGAAAGTTCGAATTTTTTGGGGAATGTAAGAAAGTATGGTCCCTTGTAATTGGAAGGGATGTACTATAATCTCGGATTTTGATATTCATTATTGTAATTGGAAGGGACGTTACTATAATCTTAGAATTTTGTTCTTATGCTACAATGGAAGCAGGGGCAAAATTTCAGCTCTTGAAAGTGTATCTTCATAATATTTGAGAAGAAGTTATTTCCCTAGTTTTTCCAATCTAAATTTGTTGTCATGATTGGAACATTCTGCAAAGCATGCATTTGTAACATTTTCTCTTTGAAACTAACAATTTGTTTCCACTTCCTTAATGTGAAAAGGAAATTATTCTAACTTTTTTGTTGTCTGGTTGGAATGTGAAACTGGTAAAAATGGGAAAACCTTGTGTTTTTGAACCCAATAGTATTTAACTAGTCATATTTATTTGATTTTTTTGTTATATGAAAAATCTAAGAAGCAGTACAATCGTCCTATGTTGATTTTGGGAGCAAACTTTTGTGCATGATTCATTAACTTTGCAAGACTCAAGGGGAATGTATCAGTCTGTACTTGTGTAGGGGGTATTGTGGTCACAGGTTATCATAATGAGATTTTGATTTCTTCCAAGTTTAGGTTAGATTTGGGTAACTGGATTTATGTTAATAATGTCAAATTGGGTAGTCTTTTGGATTTGCATTTGGTTGTTTTTCATTTGTTGACTGTTCAGGCATCTGATGTTGTGTATATATACATCTTATTCCTACCTAGGCTAGGCAGCTCGTGGGAAGTTTCTATTCTTTTGTACATACAGACAGAAGACAGGAATCTGGGATTTTGGGATATTCATCATGATCAAGAAGTCACCCAGTAGAAACCAAAGATCCAAAGGCCTCAGGGTAAAGCATGTCCTGCAAATTTGTGTGTTGCTTACTATCTGTTTCTGGTTAATCTACCAAGTCAAGCACTCTCGTGATAAGAAAAAGGAATTTGATGCAGAACGTGTCGATGGAATTCTGAAACTTGGGAGGAAGGACCTTCCTCGTATTGAGGATGTGCATAAAATTGAGAAACATGAGGAGGAAGAAGAAACTCTAGCAGAAGAGGAGGATAATAAGCATGAAGAGCAGCAAGATGAGGAAGCAAGCAAGCATGAAGAAGAGGATCAAGAAGAGATAAACAAACATGGAGAAGATGAACAGGAAGAAGTAAACAAGAATGATGAAGAAGAGCGCGAGGAAGAAGAAAACAATCATGAAGATGAAGACCAAGAAGAAGTAAATAAGAATGAAGAGATGGAAGCTGAGGGGAGAGGAGATGGAGATGATGAGGTAGATGAAAATGAGCAAGAAAAAGTTGCAGGGCAAGCTGATCATGCAGAAGATTTTGTCGATGAGGAGAATGAAGAGAAAGAGGGTCAAGAAGAAAATGAGAATTCATCAAATGATCAGAATCAAAAGGGAGGTGGCAGGATTTCCCATGAGGCTAGAGAGGAACATTACAAGGCAGATGATGCTTCTAGTGCAGTGTCTCATGATGTTCAAATTATTGGTACTGAAAATGAGAAATTAGGTACAGAAAAATCAGATGAGAACTCCACAATAATTATTATGGGGGCAGAGAATGAAGCCAATAAAACTGAGGAAACAGCTGGTCATGAAAACAATTTGCAGTTGAAATCAGAAGAAGAGAAACACACAGAAGCTGGCAATTCTTTGAACAACACAATTGCAGAAGAAAAGGATCACAAGATTAGCTCATACAACTCTGGAAACCACTCACTTCCAAATGCAACAAAGGCAGCTGATTCCAATGATGTAGCAAGGAGTAAAGAATCCACAAAGAAGTCAGCAGTAGTAAATGCAGAAACTCTTGATTCAGTGCAGAATGGAGTAGCAACAACATCTGTTTCAAAGGAATCACAAAATACAACAGAAGCTGCTGTAACAACGGGAGAACAATCAAACCAGCAAAGTATTGAACTAGAACAGGCCAATAACTTGTCATCTAGCAGCAATCAGTTAGATGCTAATACCACAGTTTCCACTAAAACTGAAAATGCAAAGGCTGCCACATCGGAGATCATTAAACCAAATGCAACAGCTGAGGGAGGGAATAGTTCCGAGTCTTTAACAACCAAGGAAACCACTGGTGCAACTCAGAATGAGAACTCAGAAGGTAACCATGGATTGGGTGGAACAGATGAAAGCACTGACCTTTCCTCCACTAATGCGACCATAGATGAAAGTCAACATGACCCCATTGATTCTTCTGAATCTACCCTCCCCCAAGATGAGGAAGATACTCGTGTTGATCTGAGTACACTTCCAGATACTCGAACAGAAGGGAGCAACATTGATTACGCTGCAGCAGAATGAGTATGATTAAAAATAACAACAGAGTTTCTTTTGAATCCTCCAAAGTTGTATATCATCTCATTCCATTTTGATACAAAGACAGGTAAACTTTGCGGAGTGCTTCTACTCAACTTGTATCAAATCGTGTTTAGAGAATAGGTTTTACCATTGGTTGCTAAACGTAGGCTAGTTTATGTCATCAGTGATCTAAGCTATGTAATCTGCCGCAACTTCCTTTGTGTCCATTTTTACTGTCTTCTTTTTTTGTTGCCGACATGGTTTTCTGTGCTGTTCAAGCCAGTCAGTTTAGGGATTGACTCTCTTATCTTTTTGGGTGCATCCAATGACTTTTCTGAATCCACCATCCAAGACCTGAACTTTGAAATCTAGACTTGCCACCATTTGTGTCCAGATTTGAACTCAGAAATCTAAACTTGCATATTAAAAGTTCAGGTTCTTAATTATTGAAAATAAGTTGGATAATGTTGAAATGAATTTGAATGCGTTTCTAAAGAGCAATCCTACATGAGATGCCCAATTATTTAGCACCAGGGAGCTTAATGGTCACTTTTTTGATAAAAAATGTTAGTGCGTGAGGTCTGAATTCAATATTCAATTATTATTTTTTATTTTCAAAAATTTCCTAAGTTCAAAAAAAAAAAAAAAATTTCCTACATGAGATGCCCAATTTCCTAGATAAAAAAGTTTATTATGGCAATCAATAAATTTTTTTATAGAAAAAGAATAGATTTACAAAAATATTAAAAAAAAGAATATTTTGTCAGTCTCGACTGTACGCATCCAGCTCAAAAATGCTGTTAGTTATCTGCCAAGCCAACTCATGGGACTCATCAACAACTCAAAACGACAACAACTTCCACATTAAACGACAATATTCTGACCCTGCTGTCTCAACTCTTTCCTCAGCTTTCCTGAAAACGGCTGGCAAGCATCCATACTGAGGTCCATGGCAGCAGCTAGTGCAACAAAAGCTGCGGCGTCCTCCGTGCACGTCACGTGCCGCACACCGACCTCCACCACTGGCTTACTGCACTTGTCCTCCCCTTCCACCGTCGACGACATAACGAAACCACCGTTTGAACTCTGCTGCAAGAAACTGAACCCAAAGTCGGATCCGGACCCAGAACCAGGCCTCGATCCTGGCCTCGACAGAGATCCGAAATCGCAGCTGCCATGTGGGGTATTTATGGGGGTTTGTACATTAGTGGTCGTATCAATGGTGAAGGTCCCGCCTTGTTTGGTGCTGACAGTAGAACTGGCGATGGTGCTGCTGGTTGCGGTGCTGGCGATATCGTCGTGAAAGAGATCAAATTTATAACCAACGGCGGCAGAACCACCAGGCTCCCGCCATGTCTCAAGACGACCCCAGGGCTTCCACGTGCCACCGCCTGGCCTGAGAATCAGCCACCCACCGGGGTTAGATCGGCTGACCCGATTAGAACCAGGTGACGGAACATATGGGGTGACCATTGATGCCATGGCAACCGGCGAACCAGAGAGATCGTGGATGGTAACCGACCACCCCTTTCTCTCTTTTGAATATTGATCATTCTTTGCTTTGAATGAGGATAGCCATTTCCTTGAAGTGCTTCGTTCCGCCATTGATGATCTGTAAAAAGAGTAAAAGAAAGGATTAAGCTTTCGGTACAAATCGAAGTCGATTTCAACTATCTATCTTAGGAAACCAAAAACACTACATAACAAAGTTTCATTATGCATGTAATACAGTGACTTTCCTCTTTTTGATTCAATTTTCTCGCGAGCCAAACAGAAAAGTATGATTTATTACTAACCTAGAAAGCAAACTGCGATCGCTGGAGTTCCTGAATCCAAACTTGCAAGTGAAAACTGCCTGCTTATCACTCCCCTGAACCTGAAAAACCTGAGGACTGCACTCAGGCTCACCGCCGAACTGGAAAACATATCTAGGGTCCGGCTCCGCCCGAACGATCAGATGCACCTGCGCCGACGATCCCTTCTTGCTCTTATCGTCCCCAACAGCAACCCACCCGTTGTGAAAAACAAAGGGCCTAGATTCCGCCCCCCGGAGATCCAACGGAATAGTAATCTTCCCCAATAACTTCCCGGACGCCAGTCCACATGAATTCCCATCAGGATCAGCATATACCCCGATTTTTAACCGGCAATTCTTACTCCCTTTTGCGTTGATCTCATCGAGAAGTGTCTTGTTCAGACTAAAGCAGGCGGCAAGGGACTTGTGGCCTTCTGGGTGGTCTCTATCCTCGGCGACCTGGATTAGAGGGGCGGCGGCGACCTGGTTAGGGAAGCCCTTGAGTTTGATCTTGCAGTGACATAGGGAGGATGAAGGGTGGACTCTTGAGAGAGAAGGCTTAGGAGATACTGGTAACTTCACGGCCAAGTTACCAACTAGAAGCCGTACAAAAGGACACGGATCCATTGCGGTGGTGGTGGTGGTGGTGGTGATGGTTGTACCGGCAGCCCAGCAGTGGTGCTGTATTGCTTGTGGTTGGGATTTTGGGCAGGGAATATAAAGGAGTTGCCGTTGCCGACTAGGACCATTGAAATGGAAAAGAAGAGGAAATCTGCTTAACGGGACTGATCGAGCTCCAGCCTGTCACCCAGCTGGGGGATACCATACTCAAAATGGTGGGTAGATTCTGTGCGGTCAAACTTATTTCAAATTGTGATACTCTCCGATTATGCCGTCAATTTAAAAAAATGTGTGTGTATGTGTTTTTTTTAATACTTAGCGCACTTAAAAAATATTATTTGGAAATAGAAAAAGATAAAAATAAGATAAAAAATACCTTAATGAATCAGATGCTCAATCCTTTGTTGCCATGTCATTAGACACTTAAAAATTATAATCTTAAAATTTTTTTAAAAAATATTTCTTTAATGACATAAATATTTAAAAAAACTATTTACCAGCTTTACCTATACAAAATTAAACAAAAAAAGTTTCAAAATTATATTTTTTAATAAATTTCAATTGGAAAAGAACTCAAATATCCTAAATTTTAAATATAAAAGGACATTGTTTTAATTTTTTTAATATTTTATTAAAATAATATTATTTAAAATATTTTTTATTTAATTTTTTACAAATCTAGCTAATAAATATTAATCTCTTAAATATTCAAGCTAATTCGCCCCCAAAAAATTCAAACTGTGGTCCCCTCCTACCATGCCATTAATTTTATACAAATGTTTTATAGTGCACTTAAAAATATCATTTTAAAATTTAAGAGGACAAAAATATCTTTAATGAAACAAAAATATATGAATATTTATTACTAATACAACTGTATTTTTGTCTTTTTTTTACTCAAATATGATTTTTTAATCATGCTTTTATATATTATAAAATTCTTTTACTGTTCAAAGTTTAAATGTAAACAAATTATCAAGTTTTGAAAAGGAAAAAAAAAGCATCTTTATTAATTCATGAATGTATGACGATTTATTAATATTTTACCTTTTCATATAAACCAAAATAATAAATTTTTCTACACTGAAGTAAAAAACATTAATTTCAATATTTATTTAATAAGAAAACATTTTTTAAGGCAAAAGTAGAATTATTTATAATAAAAATTATCAATATTTTATAATATTTTTGAATTAAAAAATAAAAAATTTGTAATCAATTAAATTATAATATTTTTAATAATTTAATTAATTAAAAAAATTTCTCTTTACTTTGTTTTTCCTCTTAATCTAAATATATAATTTCAATTCAAATAGTGAACTTTTTCAAAAAAAAAAGTACGGATACGGGAAGATCAATAATTTTTTTTTTTGTAGTAGGGAAGATCAATAATTAAATACACATGAATTGATGTAGTTAAGTTGTCTACAGTAGAAGATTCTTATTTAATTTAGGGCGATTTCACATAAAGAGGAAAGAGAACTGGCGCAAGCAAAGTGTTTCTGTGAATGTGAACGAAGATTAAGTGCATGGACATGCGTGGGTCCACATGAGAGCGGGATGAGCTGGCACACAATCCGCACGTACTACAAAGGGTTCATCATCGATGATGCAAAACTAATTCGCATGCGCTGTCGTTTTCCTACCACTAACTTTGTCGTTTTGCTGACCTTCGTTGGGGCTCTTTTCCCCCACCCACGTATAGTGTGAACCAAGCAAGAGCTGTCGGGTACAACTGGTTCCCAGCTGTGTCCAGTCCCACTCGGACACAAGGTTGGGTTGGACCAGCGGGTCAACCCGTCTATCTGACAACCACACAATTTTTGTCCGGCGGCTAGGTCCCACTTTATCATTATCGCTGCTTAATCACGTTCTTAAATTTGGATTCAGACATCTTTCGTTTTCGTTGCAGTTTCTTTCGGGGGCAAGGGAGCTGCAAGCGTTGTACCTTAACTTGCTCATTGGTAGCAAAGAGATAGATTTGCACCCAATAATAAAAGAGGAGTACGGTGTTTTTATATTTAAATTGTATTAAATTATAAAATTTTAAATTTTCTTAATGCTAAAAGATTTTTTAATTTAATAACTTACTTTTTATGATTTATACATAAAGTATTTTTTTAATTAGGAATTTTAGCCAAAAAAAGAGAGTTTTGCCTTGTGTGTGTGTGTGTGGAGATGTTGGGATTCTTAGGTTTAAGATTGGAGGCTTTTTTTTGTTTTTTAAGATTGGAGATGTGGAGAGGGTTTTTTCTCTCTCTTTCTTTTTTTTTTTTTTAGTTGCTACTCGAGAGAAATCTAGATTTTTTTTTAATTATAGAATAAAATTATTCCTTTTGTTAAAGAAAAACCCTTTCTTTATTAGATGCACAACTAACTCATGTCATTTTCGTCATCTTTTGCGAAGGAAATTATATATTTCTCTAAATTAAAGTTCTTTTTTTTTTTTTTTTTTGGATAAAATGAGCATTTTGTTTATATAAAGAGAAATTTTCCAAATATAGTTATTTTTCAAGGGATAGCAGAAATTAAACTCCAGCAAAGACCCCCAGCTTTTACGCATTAGAAGTGAACCAATTAATCCAATTTCATTCGGAAAAGAAGGGCATTTGGGCCTAACTTTACTCAACTGCTAGTTCATAGAGTTGATTTATTTATTTATTTATTTATTTTGGGCAAAGAGCGGGTGCATTTGCCAGTCCAGACTGGCTGAATTGGCAAAATTTGACCTCGAGGCTGGAAGGCCTAGGGTGAGCTTTTGCCAGTTTGGCTTATTCGGACTGGCAAATTTTTTTGGCCTTTCTGATATAAAGATAACTGAGATTCAATCATGCATTTTTAGTATGGTTGGCACCAATCATACCGCGTTAGGCCAATCTAGTGTAATACAGACACTACAATTAATACTTAGTTTTCATGTTGGGTAGTTTGGAAGGAAATTGTCACCTCTCATTTTAATCACATTAATTATTGACTAATGCTGTCTTTAATGTTACATAACTGTCTGTAATTACATGATTCGTAGGTTATATCTAAATCTTACAGTTACTATTTGTTTAACAATAATGCTAATTAAGCAAGGCTTAAATAATTCAGTAACAAAGAGGAAATAAATCTGATTTTAATTACTCCGTAAGGGCAGGAGTAAGAAACTTATTAATACTGCTAATCATTTTATTACAACCACAGTCCATGACTGAAGAGATATGGTAATACTGAACTAATGAGGTACTGGCTCTTATCTGTCTAAAATAGTTCTTCAGAAACAAACATGACCAGAAGCTGATGAATTAGCAGAATTAATCTGATCATTTACCCCTCATATTTGGGATGGATTGGTGGATGATTCGATCAAAATCTCACTAATTTGCCTTCCAACATTCTTCTTTAATATCAGCAATGCTGCCCTCAACTGTTCTAACTCATGCAGTCCAAGTTCATCAATTGGTGCAGTCCACCAGCACTGCCTCCTTGTATCTTTCTTAATTTGGTCCAGCTCGTCCCCATGCTTTTTCTCAGCTTCCAACTGATTAACAAGCTGTGTTAGATAGAGATTAAGTTCATGAACACTGGCATTGCGATGAGCTTCAATGAGTTGATGACTACTAGAGTTCTTTGGAGGAGGGTTTCGAGTCAGAAAGCGATCAAAGAGGGACTCAACCTCAGGATGGCCAAAAGAAAATGGCTTGCTGGCTGGGGAGAAGACCACTATTCCAATTTCCACCCCACAAAGAGTGCAAAGCTCACTAGCCTTCTTGAAAAGTCCTGCTCTTCGCTTAGAGAATGTTACCTGGAGATGGTTTTTCTTTGGTATTTTTTCAATTGGAATCTTCTGACGACCAAGGCTAGACTTCTTCACCATAGCTAGACAACTCAGAACTCAAACTGAAAAAGAAAGTTTCAGAAAATGCTTAAAGCTCTTGGTTAGGGCTGAAAATATGATTGGGTTGGAGATTACATGTAGTGTATATATATAGTCTTAAGCTAGGAAAAATATGGTCGTCATAATTGATAATTCTGTTTTGCTTTATATGATATTAATAATCCAAGATTAATTTGTGAGTTACAAAATCTTTTCTTCTTAATATATAATTAACAAGGAACTAATTACAATTAACTCTAACATTTACATCTACTAGTAAGCAAGTGTCGCCTTGTAAGTCATCTCAAAAGTTAAAGTTTTAAAACGTATTCCCTTAAGATTGATCACCTAGAGAAGGATTGCTCTCAAAGCACATGAAAACTGATTTGGGAATACTTTGAACATCCAAATCGAAAATAAAAAAAACTAATTGCAATTGGTTGGCAATACAAAGAACATTTTTGATTTTGGAAATGAATTACTCTTTATGTATTACGAACAAAAATGCTATGATTGATAGTTTGATACATATTGCGAACCATTGACTAGTAGTATTCTCTTTCATTTGGAAGTATGAAGGTTCTGTGTTCAAGTTTTGGATATTCTTCCAAAAAAAATTTAGCAGGGTTACATTAAGTTGAAATGTCACACTAGTTTAACGTGTAGCGCAAGGTTTTTCAAGATAGACTTTCATTTCATGTGCATTTTTGGTAGATTATTGATCCTTACAATCTGCTCAAAACATGGATAACTTTTTTATATATATTTGGAAATATTATTAACCCTTTTTACCAATTTTGATCATCTGGATTCAGATTTATCATGTATTACTAGGACACAGAAACAGTGATTGGGTAGAACCATCAGAACATTTCCAGATCAAATCCATGCTGTAAAAAGAAAAAATCCTGTATATTTGGAAACAGGAAGGAGAATGACGGGGGAGGGAGAAATACCTCGTACCTGTTTACTATCAAAGCTGTTTGAAACAAACCAAATTCAAGTTAATATTGAATCAATGCTTTAATTTTCTTCAATGATGCAAGTTGTCCCATGGTATAGCAACTTAAACACGGAACCTATGAAACTGAAGAAATAAAAGCAACGTAAATGCATTAAGTTAAAAGAAAAAATGGCAGTTTTTTTAACAATTATTTGCAGAAATGCACTAACATATTTTAATTACATATCTTAATCTCTTTTCTCTATTATTATTAGTTTTTTTATTTTTATTTTAAATTGCACAATAAAAATAAGTAGAAAATCCTCCTCTATTTCTTTACGCGTTCCACATTACCCCAGTTATTAACATATATGATTGCTAGATTTGATTTTGATTTTTTTTTTTTTTTCAGAATCTTGAGTTAGTTCCCCATAGCTGCTTTTTTAGTATAATATAGGAAACTATCCATCCTCGTTACACAACTTCATAAACTGATTTGGTATAATATCATAGGCGGATTTATAAAATCCTAAATCATTAACAATCCATCCAACTCTCCAATTGTCAAAAGGTGACAGAGATCAATAATTAAAGGACATGTTGATAGGTTCTAAGAATTATATATCAACCTCAAATGATCCCTTCATCCGTAACTTTCTTTTCCTAGTAAATTTTTCACAATCAAGCTAGGAATTGATATCATGATTGAAATGAAAAGAAACATACTAAAACATATATGCCTCTTATTTATCATAGCTTTTGTAGCTTAAATTTATGTAAATTAATTAGTTTTTCAAACCAAATAACATATTATCAAAATCCAATCCTGAGGCATATTACAAACACAACAACAATACAAAAAATAACAATGTGTTCTGTGGAGAAAATTAATGCTAATTACTCAAACCCAAACTAAATTTTAGAAGAAGCCGCGGCCAAATCCTGGATTGAAGCCAGGAGGAGGCATCAGATGGTTCATGTTCATATTTGGATTGAACCCTACATTGTTAACCATGTTCTTACTGGGGTCATAAGGAAGAACTCCTGGGCAAGTACTTGGATTTCCCATGTAAAACTGCTGCTGCTGCTGCGGTTGCATTGGTGGTGGTGGTGGTGGCGGCGGAGCTGTGTTCTGGATGAGAAGCTTGTCTGCTTGCTTTGCCACATTCTTCTTCAACTCTTCCAATGCCTGCCTCAGTTGCTCCAGCTGCGTCAGATTGAGTTGGTCGATCGGATTCTCCCACCAGCACTGGCTCTGGCTTGCCTTCCTCATCTGGTTCAGCTCTTCCCCACGCTTTCTTTCAGCCTCCAGTTGGTTCGTCACCTAAAAACCCATAACTTAGTTGTAATTAATTATGATTCATTTTTTAATCTTAATTATGATTGAATTAATCAAAGAAGGAATCAAAACCATAACACTGTTTGGGTAAATACTATTTTTAAGTTCTTGATATTTAAGATTGCATGCAAAATTATTCTCCACCTTTAAAACTAATAACTTATATATTTGAATCCTTAAATACTTTGTTAAGTTTTGTAATATAATTTTATTAGTTTTGTTAATTTAAAAAAAATATAAAAGTTAATTTCATCCAACCTTCGCAATCCATTGAGATGACGTATAAACATTTTGGGATGAAAAACATCTAATTATATTAGATTTAATTTATAAAAAATAATATTTACAATATATAAAATTCAATTTTATTTTTCTCCAAACATCACGATATTTAACTATTGGGCTGTGTCTCAAATATGCATTTGACATCTTGGATGCACTCTTTAAGTTGAGATTAAGGCTTTCTTTTTCTTAATATATTTTATAGTTTGATTTAAGAAGGCTACTGAATGGAATAGTGGAAATGATTAGAAAGGTTCTAAAGGTAGAAAACTACTTTGCATATGACCCTAAAGTTTGAGGACTAAAATAACATTTATACAACAAAAAATGGTATTACCTGAGTGAGCTGCATGTTGAGTTCCCGGACGCTAGCGTTCCGGTGAGCTTCAATGAGCTGCATGGTGCCGGAAGCTTGAGGAGGACTTCGGCTGACATAACGTTCAATCAGCGTCTCAACTCCGGGGTGGCCAAAAGAGAAGACCTTGTTTCCGGGAGAGAAAACAACGACAACCACTTCAGCACCACAGAGAGTGCAAAGTTCACTGGCCTTTTTGAAAAGGCCAGACCGGCGTTTCGAGAAGGTTACTTGCAGATTGCTGTCATTATGCATTTTCACCATCTCCACCTTTTGCCGCCCCTTACTCTTCCTCGCCATGGTTGAAGCAAAAACAGAGGGATATTGGGATGTAGATGGGAGGCAATGATTTAGTATTTGTAGGGTATTCTGGGATGAGATCCGGAGTTTCTCGAGGAGTGGAAAATTATCACGTTTTGGGTGGAATTCTTTGCATTTCTGTCAAATTAAATGATATACTTGTTTAGGAGCTTTGAAGATCTCTTTGTGATTAACATATATGGTATGAACATCAAGAAAAATGAAAATGCAATGGTCCTCTTGTTGGGTACTGACCCTTTTTCCAATTCATCAACATTGAGGAATTTCTTTGGCAATCCGCTACAGCTTGGATATGATCTTCTGGTCAAAAAAGAAGAAAAGTTCAAGAAGTTGTCTGCTAAATTATAAATGGTTTTAGCTAATGGCATGTTGTTATTATTTTTTAATATGTTATACAACAGAAAATAATTTTCTCTTTCCAAATTTCTCTTCACTCATCTCGGATGAATTTAAAATTTTCAAGATAGAGATTTAAATTCTTTACGTCTAAAATGTCCCTTAAGGGATCTAATAGTTTAATTGATGTGGATTTAGCTTCACCCTTATATGCAAGCAACTAATGAAACCTACAATTATTGTTAAGGATTGTATGAAGTTGAATAGAAAATGGTAAAATGATTAAAATTGCGTTTTTGATGATAGAAAATAGTATTGTACCGTTCCATTATGGTCAAGGAAACTTAGTAAGGGTTGTATGTGTATCCGCTCCATACAAGGAATACAAATTTAGCCTTGAACTATCAGGGAAAATCTACAGATTTGGAAAAGTTCCACCTGTTCCAGGGACGTTTCAACGGTCAGGAACTGGAATTTAATAAGCAAATCTATATTGATAAGATACATGAATAACCGGAGGAAGCTGGATATTGGCAAGATTACAATCTTATCTACTTCCACCATTGAATTTGGAACGTTTAATATAGCATTCACATAGAGAGAAATCATGAGGCCTGAGCATTATAGGAAGTTCTTTTAAGCTCAAAGATAAGGATTGCTCAAGCAAACAGACATCATTTCTGACAAGCCCCTCTAGTACTAGGGTATTGAATGAAAACATTCGGTAACATTTAGCAAGAAAACTTTTGTTTTTATTAATCGAATCAGAACGTAAGTTACACTTTCATGGTATTGTTTCTGCAGGGAAGATTCACATGATGGTCATGTTTTATCAGCAATGGTCAGGTTTTGGTTTCACAAATATGCAGATGCAGGTAGTTCTCTAAAAGCCAAAACCAAAGAATGTACAAGAAACAGAGTTTTATGATGGAGTCACGGTGATTCATGTCAAGTTGGCTTTTGACATAGATATGCAAACCTGTGACAAATTATAGGGCCTGCAGTGATAGATCTTTTAGCTGCTGGGTATCCACCTCTGATGGTGCACGTGTGAGAGCACACTGAGCAGTAGTTGTTTTTGGGAAGGCTATTACATCTCGGATGGAATTTGCATCTGCTAACAGCATAACTAATCTATCCAATCCATAAGCAATTCCTCCTGCAACAGGAAGATAAACATTCACCGTTAACATTATTCTAGAATCAGGAGAAGTTCTTCAGATGCTTCAGATAAAATATGCCAAGCCAAGGTCAATTGATCAAAGTACTGCAAAAAGAGTATAACTGTGCTAGATGTAGATAAAATTTTAATGAAATCTTTGGTGCCAAGGTGTCTATACCATGTGGAGGTGCCCCCATGTCTAAAGCTTCAAGAAGATAACCAAACTTCTCTTCAGCCTGTCAAAACAGTAAGTTACAGCTAGGGTTACTAGAAAAAGAAGTGTGAAGTTGTGGGATCTCAAAGACAACAAACCAACAAAACCCAATCCATGCATGCTCCCACATTTATCAATTGTTTGTATTTAGCATAGTTTTGTATTAATGACTTAAAGGGTTCTTCTCACCTGTTCAGGGGAGATACCAATGATTTCCAAGACCTTTTGTTGGATGTCCCGTCTATAAATTCTCAAACTTCCTCCACCAATCTGACAACACGCAGAAGACAGCAACAAATTTAGTTATCATCTATGATAGGAGTATAACCAACTAGCTTGAACATTTTTAAAGGTGCACGCACTGCAGTAATGTAAATACCTCGACACCATTGTAAACCATGTCATAAGCAAGGGCACGTGCAGAAGAAAGATCCCCAAGGTCTTCAGGGTTTGGAGCAGTAAATGGGTGATGCAAAGCCTACAAAGTAACTAAATTTTCAAAAAAAAGAAAAGGTCTGCAAGAAGTGAAACTGGAAAAAACTAAGAGGATAATAATTTCAACAAAAAAATCATCAAAATAACAGTGACATGATGCAGACCTCAAGCCTCTGCTCTGAATCATTCCACTCAAACATTGGGAAATCAGTCACCCACAAGATTGAATGCCTGGACTAAAAATCAAAATTGAAGAAAATACCAGAGTCAGAGAGAACGCGAGGGCAGCAATTTATATCAATTTCATACCTAACAACCTAATGCAGGTCAAAAACTTACATGGTCAACCAAACCCAGTTCACTGGCTACAAAGAGCCTAAGTCGATCTAGAGTTTTGTTAACTGATATGTAATGACCCACTGCAAACAAGATCAGATCACCTGGTCTTGCTGAGCATCTTCTCAACAACTGCTCTCCCTTTGTTGGATCCAAACTAGATACTAATGCAGGAATTCCCTCGACTGCACCTGAAAAAAATATTACAACCATATTCACACATTAAAAACATCTATTTGTTGGAGGAGGAGGCAGAGTAAAGTGATAAGACTATTTTACCGTCATCCAACACCTTTAGGAAAGGTAACCCCTTTGCTCCAGATTTGACCGCTTCATTATAAATATCACCTTTCTTAAGAGCAGTATTTGAATAACTTTTAGCACCACATGGCACACATAAAGCTTTGACAATTCCCCCATTTTTCAGTGTGTCTGAAAAAACCCTAAAGGAGGACTCTGAAAAAACATCAGATACCTGCAGCTCGAATAGAATGGAAATAAAGACAGATTAGAAGCAACACTAAAGTCATAACTAGACAAATATGATTTATTAAAGAAGTGGAAAGATATTGTTACATTTTTCAACTCAAGATCAAATCTGATGTCTGGCCTGTCTGAACCATACCGATCCATTGCCTCAGCATAGGTAAGCCTTGGGAAAGGATTTGGCAGCTGAGCACCTTTAATCTCTAGAAAAACCTGCAGTGTATAAAATGAATCTCCAGAAAAATCCTCAAAAAGGGTGAAGTTACAAGAATTATTTGATCATATTACAAATGCACTAACCTTCCTGATTAAATCTTCATTGAGCTTCAGCATATCCTCCAAAGGAGTGAAAGCCATTTCCATATCAAGCTGTGTGAACTCAGGTTGTCTATCAGCTCTCAAATCTTCATCTCTAAAACATCTGAATAGCACAAAGTTCAAAAAATCAAAATCAAAATGAACTTTGTCAGTTAATTGTCCCTGTCCTGACATAAGATGGCAGTGACTAAAATCAAAATGAAAGTTGCAACTTATTGTGACCCTATCCCTGTGTAAGGTAGCAGAATCTAAAATATCAACAGCTCCTAGTTATTTGCAGTAAAGGATGTCATCAACCCCAATACAATGAGCTTAAAATTGTATATCACTACACCAGCAAAAAGCAAGAATATTTAATAAACAGAGTTTCTCCCCAGGACCAGGACAAGGATCAGGATCATTTATTCTATTTATTTTGGATATTGAAACAAAAACAGAAATGGGACATATTAATAAATTAGATGATTGGCAAAAGGCAGAACAAAAGCACCAATTGAACCAGGAAACCAATGTGAAAATACTGTAACACTTCCAAGTGCAGAAACTTACCTAGCTATTTGGTAATATTTATCAAATCCAGAGACCATTAACATTTGTTTGAAAAGCTGTGGACTTTGAGGCAAAGCATAGAACGTTCCTGGCTTCAAAATACGAGTTATAGAGTGAATCAGACCCATCACCCATGAAGAAAGTATACCAAGTAACAAAAAACTATAAAGATCAAGCACAACAAATGGAAGCATACATCTTTGCAATTCATTTATGCATTCAGTAGAAATCTTCAGTGATTTAGCCACAAAGCAATTAGAAATTGTCAAGAAAAGAACATTCAAATATGAAATAACCATGAAAAAATTGTATCAATATTTTACAGATATTAATAAACCAATTTTACAGGTGGCTGGGTAAGTTCTGGATACCTGAATTCTTGAGGGCACTAAATAATCACGAGCACCTTCTGGAGTAGATCTAGAGAGCATTGGAGTTTCAATCTACCTTATAAACATGAAAAGTCAGAATAATAAAAAGAAATAACTGAATGACCAGAAATAGAGGCCTTTTTTTTTTTTCCTTTTTTTTTTTTTTTTTTTTTTTTTTTTTTGTGTATAAAACAGACTTCATGGGACAATACCTCCACAAAACCATGTACATCCTCTAGATACCTTCGAATAAGTTTCACCACACTATGACGCAAGATCATGTTAAAATTCATTTGATGCCGGCGTAAATCAAGACATCGATATCTACCAACATAAATTTAAGTCTATCAGTGTGTCTCCTAGCAATACACATTAATTGAACACACAGAATAGCAATTAGCATAAGAGAAACATCCACTGGCCAAAAAAAATAAAACAGTTGAAGAAGAGAGTCAAAGCTTTTTAAGTTAGGAATGAGATAAAAATACATAAGTCCCAAAACAACCAATGTTACCATCATACCAACTAGTCTAGTGCATCTTTTTTCATGACTAAAAACAGAAACATAAATTTAAGAAAGAGTTTTATGCAGTTACCTCAAACGAATTTCCTCCTTAACAAAATCCTTTGCATCATCAGCAGTTGTGACTAAGAATGGAAGCTTAGATTTCACAGCATTTAAAACTTGAACATGCTCAGCAGCAACCTGACACACATGATTCATAAAAATATAACATGAAAAAAAAATTACAAGCCAATAAGAATATATTAAGGGTTTGCAGAAAATCAGGATATTCTAGCATTTAAAATGCTAGGACTGATAAAATTATTTTAATACCTTTAATGAATCAACATACAAAAAAGATTCATCAAGGCTATTAAAATAATTTAATAAGGACTTTTGACATTTTAAATGTCAGGTGGTCCTAATTTTCACTTTTCTCATACATTAATAATAACAAATACATGTTGATGGAATGATATTTACCTCTATTGAGCCAGTTTTCATTTTCTTATTGACAGACTCGCTTGGCCTAGACCTTACAACACCTTCAACAGCAATCACATATTCAAGCCTCAAGTCCTTAATAGTTGAATGAGCAACGGGAAACTCATCTGGAAGCGTTGTAACCTAAGGCAACAATACCATTACCCTTTTTTTTTTTTTTTTAGTGGACAAAGAACTTTACTAAAACCAACTTCATAAAAATTAACCATCAAAGGCTGCAAAGTTTAGAAAGCATATTGAATCCATTTCTTTTAAAATTAAAACAAATAATTGCCAAAAGCATCAGCTTTCCAATAGAACTGCAGCTTAAGTATAAAAATTTACTCTTGACCATTTTTAATCATCACATATACACCAATAGTGATACGTTTATACCTGAACAATGCCAGTCTGGTCTCTAAGATTGACAAACGTGAGGCCACCATGGACCCGGTGGAGAGCAACCCATCCACAAAGCCGAACCCGGGCACCCACAGCATCGGAGGACAATTCACCACAAAAAGCAGTGCGGGAGACCCACTGCAGGGAGTCGTTGAGAGTAACAGGTGGTATTGGATTTGGGGTTTCAGCAGTAGCAGAAGAAGGAGGGGGCTGGAAACTGGAAGCAGAAACAGAGGAAAGGCCACGGTTGCTCCTGGGAAGAGCTCTTGGAGCTTTGGTAAGAACAATGGTGGGGAAAACGGAAAGAGGTCTGGCGCGAAGGAAGAGGAAAGGGAAGGACTTTAGCAGCAGAGACATCTGAGAGAGGCTAAAGAGAATATTTTTCTTGCTTCTGAGGAAACAGAATACAACAGAACAGAAGAGGGGTTTAAGGATTGAGATTGAACGGATTCTGTCCGGATAACCCATTATCTTAACCGGGTCAGTTTTGGATCCTCCAGCGGGTCGGGTATTGTTGAAAATCAAACCCTCACCTCTTCCGGACTCAAGATAATACCACTCCCTTGAACCCTTTTTCCCTCTGCAGTCTTCTGGGGTGCATGCGTTTCGGTAAAAACCGGTGTTTTCTGCTAGCAATTATCGTCAATTTCTTTACAGAGCTTTGCATTGGCATTGTTGAATCTAGGATTAGAGGGGGTTTCTTTCTCTTTGAAGTTCGGTAATCGAAGATTTCAGCTTTCAGAACCAAAAATTGAGTGCGCGGTTCAAGGAATTATGGAGATGCAGGTAAAAATGGAGTAGTTTAGAAATTGGGTAGTTCTTCTTTTTGAAAATTATTGGTCTTTTACACCCTTTTCTTAGGTAATTGGTTATTTTCTTTGCATCTGTTGGATGTTGTTTACTTGGGAGGAATTGGTTCAAATTGAACTTCTCATTGAACGCCCATGTTGTAGAAGATATTGAGAGGACCAAGGATGTAAAGTTTAGTGTTTTTAACCTTTATAAATGCCAAAGTACTTCTCTTTTCAATTTAAGAAGATTGTGGTCTTGCTTGAAGAATAATGGAGGAAAAAAGTAGTTACTCCTTAATTACTTCTGTGGTTCGGAGAAATATTGTAGATAAAGATATTAAGAATTGTTGTGCCTGATTTAGAAGATACAAAGATTCTGTGAGTGTAATATAATGATAGATGATATTATTTTGTTGTTATTTCTTGTTCCCATTGTTCATTTGTGTTAATGTTACAGGCAGAAAAAGCATGAGTAGCAGTTTCATATAAAGAGAAAGGAAGTGAACTCCTCTCCCCTCTTGTTTTCTGCTCTTTTTCCCTCGGCTTCTTGGTGCAAGCATACCATACCTTGGCTGAAAAACTTTGTTTGACTTCCTCCTTCCATACTATATAGATCCACCTTGCTTTCTCGCAATAGTCCCTGCTATTTCTATATCTTTTAAATTCTCTACTCCAGATTTGGTTCCAGACATGAAAAATGGACCCTTCAATACCCCAAAACCTGGATGAGTACTCAGCGTCAGCAACAACCATCACGTTTAACAGCCCAATCCCTCTACTCAGGGGGCCCATTCCTGCTGGTCCACGTGATGATCCATCATCTGGTTCTTATCTCCTTGCCTTTAAAGATCCCCAGTCCTGGGCCACTGCATTCTCTTCTTGCAAGGCTAAAATCTTAGCTCAGTGTGAGGAAGGTGCCAGGATTGGGTGTGCCATTAGTGCATCAAAGAAGTGCAAGCCCCCTTGGTGGCACAATTTGATTGGCTGGAAACCAATGGACTTGAAGGAAAGAGAGAGGTGCGAGGATCGTGAACTGGAGGGTTGTTTGGTTGCTGCAGAGGAGAAGTGCATTGGTTTTGCTAAGGAGAGGTGTATGAGGCCATTTTTGGATGCAAGAATTGCCATGGGGGAGAGAGAGATTAGAAAGAAGGTGGTTAGGAAGTTGGTCTGTCTTGCATCAATGCCGGGAGAGAGTACATGGCGTGATGTGATTGGATTGGATCAGTTAGGTAAATGTGAGCTTGGAATAACAAATTATACGGGTAGTGAGTTGCTCAGCTCTAGTTCCCAATTTGAGTGTCTTTTCAAATAAAAAGCCGACAGAGGAGTAAAACACATATGCTCAAGTCGATAAGGCATTTTTAACTGAAAATTGGAGAAGTTGAGGATACACTCTTGAGGTATGCTCAATTGAACTTCACTTCTCATTTTGGCATGCAAAAGGATTAGAGCAATTGCGTGGTAATGTTGGTTGTTTAGTTGATTAGATGATATTTACAATGTTAGAGAAGTGGGTTAGAATATGCATTGGTAGTCAAATCAGTTTCTCCATTTTCTTTAAAAAGTGTTTGCTTCTGGGCCACCGTTTGTGGTATTTGGTATTATTTACATGCAAATGTTCCTTTTGCTGCAACAAATGATCATCTCTCTCATTCGCATATTGAGTTCTCTTGTTGATGATGACTATTTTGGTTGAGCTGTTAGTAGCAGGAAAACTAATTGATGTTTTGGTATTAATTAACAGTCTACCATGTCAAGACAGAATTGTCAAACATATCAAACTGCAGTTCTGGTTTGAAAAGGGATGTGAATTTGACTTTGAAAATTTCTTGAGGATGCAGGAGCAAGTGGCTGATGATGTCAACTTTCTCAGCATGTCTCTCTTTACCCCAAAACTTTCAGCAGATTGAGATCCAGCACGAAGCAACACCAAAGAGAAACAAGAAGCGGCATGAAGGATAGGAATTGAGCAAAGCAAAACCAAAAGTCAATCTTGCATGACACCATGATCGCAAAAATAGCCCAACTAGTACAGCAATTTATTCATGTACGACTTTCCAGTCATTATTGACGATGTTTTTTGCATCCTTCTAGGCGTCTTCTCTATGCGTGGACAAAAACCCAACCAACTCTTGACGCGTTTTCTAAAAACCATATTTCAAACATGTTGCCCCTGCTGAGCACCAAGCCGCCAACTAGCTTAATATTTCTCCATTTTCCACCAAGCCGCCAACTAGCTTAATATTTCTCCATTTTCCACTATTCTTATAGATGAGGATCACCTTTACCTCTATGATTTGCTTATGCCATAGATGAAAAATCTTGAGTTATTCTCAGAATCATATAGGATTCTTATGATATACACGACCGAATCAACAAAATGATAAAAAGTGAGCATGGCATTAAGCAAACAGTAATCATGACTGTTACCATCTGTTTACACCTAAAATAAACCAATAGGGTAAGGCCACGTGTTAAGGTAAAGCCCAATTATCAAGAAAATCAATAGGCTGGATTTGGGCTGGACTGGCTTACAATTTAACGGCCTAAATTCGCAGACAACAGAAATAGTAAAATAACACCATCTAAGATAAATACTAGCCCCAAAATTTGAACTTAAACACAAAGATAGATGATACTTACTAATGGATCTAAAATTTTAATTTTGGGTTATAATATTTTATGTAGCATTTTGATCTTAAGCTATATATGTATTTTACTTTATTTACTTAAGAGAAAAAAAATTAAGATATTTTAATATTAAAAATATCAAGACATTAAATAATAACCATATAATATATTTGATAAAATTGAGTTATATTATATTTTATATATTTAATGATTATAATTAAATATTTTAATATTTTTAATATTAAAATATTTTAATTATTTTATATTCAATAAATAATTTTTTTTATTTAAAAAGTTACGACAACTTTAATACTTCAAAGATTGTGGGCAAGTGATCTCGCTAAAAAGGATAAGTGGATCCTACAAGCGTGTAGGTCGTGGGCCAAAGTAAAACGTCGTCGTTTTAATTCATTTATTATTATATCACAATTCACATACTGTCATTCATAGCCCCATTCTCTTAACGAAGAAAATCAAGCACTGGTTTTTGGTTGTGTCTCGTGTATGTCAAAAACACGGCACGGGCTTCCTCTTCAATAAAGCCCTCCCTTTCTCTTGCCCCTCTCTTCGCCGGCAACGCCCAACTTTCCGGAATTATTTATCCGGCTCTGCTGATCGGTTCGATACAATCAGTTCTATTATTTATACGATTTGGGTTTCACACAGTTAATTTATTGGGGTGTTTTATTTTGATTGGTGCGGAATTTGGTTGCTTGAGGGATCGATCATGGAGGACTGTTCCAGCGGCGACGAGGCCTACGACTATTCCTCCGATCGAGATTCCCTTGACGCCATCGAGAATGAGGAACCCGATTACCCGGGTGTATCTTCCAAGAGCTCTTCCACCAAGGTACCATTTTCCCTCTCCTACTATGCACGTGAATTTTGTTTGGATTGTCGAGAATTTGATGACTTCTGGTTCATATGTCACTGTAAAGGATGGGATCTTGAAATTTTGTTTTCCTTTTTTGTGGGTTGCTTGTAAGATTGTGAAAGACGGTTGCTTTTGGGTGATTGGTTTCTGGGTTTTTAGGGTATGTCTGATTCAGAGTTGCGTGGGGTTTAAATTTGTGTGCTATTGCTCTGGTTTCTGTTGGTGGGGGTGGCTGGAGTTTTTTATGCCAGCAGTAGTGAATCTATGAAATGTTGCAAGCGGAGGAGCTGATTGGTGTTGGATTTTATGAATTATGTCACTGTTATTGTGAGAGTATCATATATTTTTTTTTTTTTTCTTTTTATAGATTCGTTTGGACTTTCTACATGCTCTTTCACCCATATCATGTGTGATTATTTGCATTTATGTCTGACGAATTATGGAGAGAGACCCCATCAAAGAATAAAAGAATATACAGTTAAATGTGGAAGGAAGAAGAAATTCTGTACATTGTTATACATCTATCCTTTGTGACCCTATGTGAAACTTACTTGAAGATTGGCTTTGCATTTACTGATCACCTTTTCTGATATTATGCAGGTCATTACAAAGGAATCTCTTTTGGCTGCACAGGTAGAATTTTTCATTCCTTATCCTTTTCATGCATGCACTGTTTTATATGTGTAGGATTCAGATGTTTTAATGTTGAATTGGGGGTGCTTTCATGCAGAAGGAGGACCTACGTAGCGTCATGGACTTGCTGTCTCTAAAAGAACACCATGCGCGGACATTACTTATACATTATCGTTGGGATGTAGAGAGATTGTTAACAGTGTTTGTAGAGAGGGGCAAGGCAAGCTTGTTTTCTGAAGCAGGTGTTTCTATGGTTGAGTGCCAAGAAACCAATTCAGTGCTGTCTTCTTCATGTACAATTATGTGTGAAATTTGTATAGAGGAGGTTTTGGGTGATAAGGCAACAAGAATGGACTGTGGCCATTGTTATTGCAATGACTGTAAGCCCCTCGCCTATCTTTTGTGCATTTTGATTGAAGTATGTGGAACATTACATTTACCAACATTAGGACACTTTTTAGTTCTTTATGATATCTTTAGCTTTTGTTTCAGGTACAAAACATACTTGAGTTACATTAATTTGCTCAATTGAATTTCTCAAATTGATATTTTTTTCCCCTTTCCAGGCTGGACAGAGCATTTTATAGTGAAAATAAATGAGGGTCAGAGTAAGCGCATTAGGTGCATGGCCCACAAATGTAATGCCATTTGTGATGAAGCTGTTGTTAGGAATCTTGTCAGTAAAAGACATCCTGATCTGGCAGAGAAATTTGATCGTTTTCTTCTTGAGTCATATATTGAGGATAATAAGATGGTTAGATGGTGCCCTAGCACACCTCATTGTGGAAATGCAATACGTGTTGAGGATGATGAATTTTGTGAGGTAGAATGTTCTTGCGGTTTCCAGTTTTGTTTCAGTTGCTTATCAGAAGCACACTCGCCTTGCTCATGTTTGATGTGGGAACTTTGGATCAAGAAGTGCCGAGATGAATCTGAAACAGTTAATTGGATCACAGTACATACAAAGCCTTGTCCAAAGTGTCACAAACCTGTGGAGAAAAATGGAGGATGCAACCTTGTGAGCTGCATCTGTGGACAAGCATTCTGGTCAATATTTTTTGCATTTCATCACTGTTTATGATAATTTCTTTTTTCCTTTTTAATTTCAGGCTATGATGTTTTACTATTGCCTCTCAACAAATAGTGGTTTTTTTTTTTTTTTTTGGATCTGTCCTAAATATATAGTTTTAACTCTCACAACCCTCATCATCAAGAAAAAGAGTGATATTGAGGCTGTTTGGCGAAGCTTAAAAAGCACTTCCTCAAAAAGCAAATTCATCTCTCACAAATTTGAAATTTTATTGGGGGGAAAGGCAAAAATTAGCTTTTAAAGGTGGTTTTAAGCAAGTTTGGAAAAGGCAATTATCTGTTCTTTATTTTTCATTTTAATCCCCTGCATCAATGAGGATGCTTCTGTTTGGCCAACTTGTTATGGCATTGCTGAATGTAAATTGCTTGACATAACATTTTACTGGAAGCATTTCTTCTTTCTGATGTATCTTATGTATTTTATTATTAATAATGGGACCTAAATTCTTATTTTTCAATTATCCTCTTGATGCAGTTGGCTGTGTGGTGGGGCTACTGGGCGGGACCATACTTGGTCAAGAATTGCTGGTCACAGTTGTGGTCGTTACAAAGAAGACCGCGAGAAAAACACTGAGCGAGCAAAGCGGGAGCTTTATCGCTATATGCACTATCATAACCGTTATAAAGCTCATACAGATTCCTTTAAGCTTGAAAGTAAGCTTAAGGAAACTATCCTAGAGAAAGTGTCAATTTCAGAAGAGAGAGAATCAAGGCTTAGGGATTTCAGCTGGGTAACCAATGGCCTCTACAGACTTTTCAGATCAAGGCGGGTTCTTTCATATTCATACCCATTCGCATTTTATATGTTTGGGGAAGAACTATTCAGGGATGAGATGTCAAATGACGAAAGGGAAATAAAACAGCACCTGTTTGAGAACCAGCAGCAGCTGCTTGAGTCGAATGTGGAGAAACTCTCCAAGCTTTTAGAGGAGCCATTTAATCAATATGCCGACGATAAAATTATGGAGATACGGATGCAAGTAATCAACCTGTCTGTAATCATCAATAACCTCTGTAAGGAAATGTAAGTAAAGCTGTTTCTGAAAGCTATTTAGTATCAATGAGTATTCTGAAATTCATACAATGAAAATAAAAACCTGCAGGTATGAGTACATAGAGAATGAGGTACTGGGTTCTATCCAAGTTGGTAACCATGGTATAGCTCCTTACAAATCAAAGGGTATTGAGAAAGCATCAGAACTTTCTGTCTGTTGGAATGGTAAAGTCAGCAGCACAGCTGATAAATTTCTTCCATCAGATTGTGGCACCAGTGGTAAGTCAGAACAAGACTTTTTTTCTTTTTTTTTTTTGGACTTTTATAATTTGGAAGAATGAGAAGTACTAGATATTTTGCACATTATGCCCAAAAAATATGACCACATGAAATAGTATTTGCTTGACTACTTTATTTAGCATTGAAGCTTCAATGGTTTTCTCATTCTTGTGTTGGAGCATTAATGATATATGCTTGGTAAGCTTTTTCTTATTTGCATGCTTTGGCTACATAAGTGAACTTTATATTTTTGGCCAACCATGAAGTTAATTTCTATCTATGATAATTGTTATTGACATTGGATATGTATTTCTAGAACTCACGTGCCTTATGCATGTTTTGTTGTCACAATGATATGCAGGAGGGACTTCTGAACATGATCAACATCCTGGGTTTGAGAGCCCGGATGACAGTGGTTGCCCTTCTCCAAAGCGTGCTAGAAAGGATAGCTATGGAGGTGCATTTTTTGATTTGAACTTGCCTGCTGAAGTTATTGACAGGAATTGATGCAGCAGAGGCTTTTCCTTAGATAAGTAAAGGTGTACAGCTCTAACTCGAGATTGCTTTCCAGAAGTGAATGATCATTTCTGAATTGAACGCCACCCTCCGCCCATAAGCTTCTACCTTTTTATGCCAGTATCTTTTTGTGACATTTATAAATTTCTACATATTTTTGAGACATCTTGGAAGAGGAATTTAGAATAACATGGTCTCTCAGGATTCTCGGAAAATCCAGAGTGTGTATAGCCTTTTGTTGAGGTTTCTATGAACAATATATTTACTTGTTAGTTGAACTCTAAACTTGAGACTGGAACAATGCTCGGATACATCTTTGGGGACAAGGACGGACTGAATTGGGGAGGCAATGGCTCCACTAGATTTGACAAAATCATTAAAATTTAAGTACTAACCCCTATATGGCACTTGTCACAAAAAGACTTTTAAGGAGTTTATTAAAACAACTTAGATAATCTTTAAGAGGTAAGATTGATTGATATTATTCAATGCTCTTAGTGATGAAGTTAATATTTGTCACAAAAGTTTTTTTATGGTAATAGAAAATTTGATATTATTAATAGATTATTTATAATAATTTTATTTGTTGCATAAGTTACAATTGAGTGATAAAAAAAATACATCACAAATGCAATTAAGTATCTGAGAAGAAATATTAAGTCATTAATTATTTAAATTGATATTGAACTAAAAAGGGTATTTTTATCATTACAACATATATTTGCAACAACAAAAAAAAAAAAAAAACTCATCACTAATGCAATATCCATGTTACCAATTATTTAAATTAATATTAAGCCAAGAGGGTGTTTGTATAATTATAACATATATCTTTGACAAAAAAAATTTATCACAAAAAATATATATAACAACTAATTTTAGTACCAAAATATGTTTTGTAGCTAATATTTAAAAAAATAAAATTTTGATAATAAATAAGTTTAAATACAATAGTACTTTTCAATAAAAAAATGCAATAGTACTTTGGTTTTACAAATATTAAATTAAAATAATTAATTGATAATCATTAATTTTAAATATATTCTTTAGTCAAATTACATAATTAACTAATATAAAAAG